GCCAAGATAGCAAGGAGCCTGCCAAGCCGGGAAGACGTCACAGAGTCAGTCCTGGTCGTGGCTCTGCTGCCAGATGTCTCAGGAAGGAAGACAGCTTCTGCCCAGACAGCAACATCACTGTTTTCCCCAGTCCCTGGCGCAGAGGCTGGGCCCCGGTCTCAAGCTGCTGTGAAATCACACGATTATGTCCACTCTGTGTCTGGCAAGTCCTTGCTGAGTCCTGCTGGGCCCCGGGAGCCCCTGCACAGAGAAGTCCGGGCATCCCGACGGGGCAGCTTCTAAGTCTTCACACATTGCAGAGTCTTGATCTATGTGGCACATCAGCTGAAGAGCAATTTGAACAGCATCATTAACCATAACACTGACCGACTTTCCTAAGGGGCTCTGTGCTTTCACACGCATGCTACCATCTTTATTTTGGTTTTCACGATAACCTAGGAAGTAGATAAGCTGGGTACTGTTGTTAGTCCATTTTTAGAGATGACAAAGCTGAAGCTGAGCATGCCTGAGGCCACACGGGCCCCCAAATGGCAAAACGGGGACCGGAGTCTGGATCGGTGCTGGTTCTCCCGCACTTTGTCTCTGCAGGACCCAGGGCTGAGCGTCCCCACCTCGTGGTAACAGCAACAGCTCGGACCACCATGGCTCCCCGGGGCCTGGTAGCTGCAAGGGCATGTGGGTACTTTTGAATGTTCCCTAAGATCCTAAAGACAAGGCTGAGTGGAAGCTTGTGTCACAGGGACAGGCCCTGGCCAATTTTTCCCATCCCTGGGGAGAGGTACCATTTTATTAAACCTGTTAAATCAGTTGTGTGGAGACTATAACAGAGGGTATGGCCTGAGAGATCTTCCAATTTAGGAGACAGTGAATATCGCAAACATCTCGGAGGCCTAATCCAGAAGCCCTAGCGTTATGGCCATGTCTCGCAAACACATATGGAAGAAGATATGCACATGATCCCAAACCACATTACACAGTTGTCAAAGTACTGACGATATTGTAAACCTAATGGCTGCCAAAGTTGTGTCCAATCAATTCACTTGATTCCGTTGTTTACCGAGTGCATCCTATCTGTGGAATGCTGGTGGACACACAGACACATGCTCAGGGAGGTACTGAGGTAAAGTCTGTCACCAAGGACCCCAGGTCCTGCCTGAGGGCACTATTAGATTGAAATATGGAGATCAAATCGAGAAGAATTCTGATTTCGGGAGTTTTTGACCACATTTAATGTGTCCAGAGCAGTGACCAGGAAACGAGAGCATCCCATTGTGTCTTGGTCCTCATTTACCAGACAGGTCACATTCTGTTTCTGCATCATTTTACTACCCTAGAGCCAGCAGAGCCACGCTAGGACACGGCAACCACCAGAAAGTGCTGGAATGTGGCCAGAGCTGAGACAGTGCTCCCTACTTCTCATTCATGGGCTCATCGCATAAGCTTTTTTTTTTTTTAAGATTTTATTTATTTATTTGACAGAGAGAGACACAGAGAGAGAGGGAACACAAGCAGGGGGAGTGGGAGAAGGAGAAGCAGGTTTCCCACGGAGCAGGGAGCCCGATGTGGGTCTTGATCCCAGGACCCTTGGATCATGACACGAGCTGAAGGCAGACGCTTAAGGACTGAGTCACCCAGGTGCCTCTAAATTTTTATTTTGTTTGCAAACATTCTGTAATCTCATTACCTTGTTTTTTCTTTTTCTTAAGATTTATTTGAGAGAGAGAGAGAGAGCACGAGAGGGAAAGGAGAAAGTGGGAGAAGCAGACTCCCCGCTGAGCAGGGAGCCTGACGTGGGACTCAACCCCAGGACCCTGGGATCACGACCAGAGCCAAAGGCAGGCGCTTAATGACTGAGCCACCCAGGCGCCCCGCATCCCAAAAACGTTTATTAAATGCCCAGTATGGGCAAGGTGAGGTGGTGGATACAAAGGTAAACATGGCCAGTGGTCCCCACCCTCCAGGTTCCTGGCAGAGAACAGGTCACAATAGGCTGTTTTAATAACTTGTGGGAAGTGAGCTAACCGGGCCAAGGCAAAGCCTAATGGTCAAAAGAATGGCATCAGTGAAAGAAAGCAGCGAGAACCAACGTGACAGGACATTGGGAATCAACAGCTGGAGACCAGCCTGGTGTGTAACGATTGAGAAAAGAGTGGCTCCTTCTGGAGCAAAGGAGTTGAGCAAACCATGATTCCGAGAGGCAGAAAAGCCAACACCAGGCTTTCTGAAAATGGTTGCTATGACCACAAACCAAAAGACAGACGGTTTCATACGGGTTCCTGGGCCCCACCTGTACACATCAGCATTATCTGAAATAGGGACAATGTCTCACAGGAAACATTAGTTCAAAATGTTACTTAATTCAACACAAAACTCCCTTAACCCACTACCAGAAAGAAAAGAAAATGATTAAGCAAACTCAGCTAAATTTCTCAAAAATCTGTACGTACATACATATACAGATAATAGCTTCTACCTGTGAGATTTGGGGCAAAGTACTGCATTTCTCTTTGTGTCTTTGTTTCCAAATCTGTTGAGATGAGCCCTGTGCACAGTGTCCTGTATACACACATGTTGGCTATATTATCACTGAACGGCTGTGTTAAGTTCAAAGTCAGACGAATGCTCAGCCTGTCCCCCTCTTTTTCTTTCATCTGTCCTATCCCTAGAGATACTTTTGGGTGAAATCTAATTATCACATAACATTTGAAAAACACTTCTTTTTATCCTTGAGGCAGTGTCCACAGATTTAACCTGGTACTTCACAAGTTGCTGAGGCCTAGGAAATTCTTTCCTTTGTACGGTATATGCAGACCACCATGTCACGGGAGATGACAGCTGTAGTAATCTTGCGTGCTCTTCAGTCCACCGCCACTTCTGAACGGAAAGGACTATTTCTGACCTTCAGTTCATGGCAGTTGCAAATGTCAAAGGCAGACCTTTCCCCTTCTCCCAGGCTCCCTCCGGCTCAGCTGCGCTCTGTGGCACCTTCCTGTTCTGCAGTTTGCCTCCTCCTAGACAAATGAATGCTGATGGCATATCATTCCCTGGGCACTGAAAGGTCCCGGGCCTAAAATATCTTCTTCTGGTCCTGTGGGCTGGGCGTTTCGTCACCTGCATTGTGCTCTGAGGTCTGAGCAAAGGGGCTTCCCCTCCAAACTGAGGACTATAAATATGCCTCTGGGTGGGGGCTGTATCAGCAACAGTCCCTAGATAAACTAGCCCTCCTGGGGGGGGCAGCATTAACCCATTATCTCCCCAAGCTCTCTAGGAACACAGGACCTTCGCTAAAGATGTTTTAAGGAGAGGCACAAACTCGAGGCTTGTAGACAAGTCTGATCGATAGTCATGTTTTGTGGAGTGTACTTACTGTCCTAAGAAATTTTTTTAGTGACTTTTCCATATATCCAAACCAGGGCATAACTTCTGAAAAACAAAAACAAAATATAGATGCTCTAGCAACATTGTCTTGCATCCCCAGAAAAATCACAGGGGTCCCTGGTGTCCCCAGCCTGCTTACCTACTTGCCCACAGGCCTCTGAGCTTGGGTGGAAAAGTTGGGAGAGCAGGCCTGGGCACCTGGGACTCATTTATCTGTTCTCTAACATTCCAATTCAAATACTTATTTTAACCCTACAAATACAAACAAAAACAAAAACAAAGCACAAATACAAAGTATGAAAAAAATACAGATGATACAAAGTAGCCTAAATAGTCTTTGGAAAGAATGTAAGGATTTATTGAGAAAACAAAATATGCATGCTGAACTTCAAATAAGGAAATAATTCTTGCATTTTAAGAGCACTTTATATTTTCACTTCCCTCATCTTTTCCAGATAACATTTACTTCTGTTGAATCCAAGTGCTTAGTTCCCCATGGCTAGCTGTCTCCAACTAGACCCAACTCTTTGAAGCCATAGACTGTCTTCTGTGTCCTCAGCACCAAGTGCAAAAATGTGCTTCAGAATCGTTAGGTGGGAGTGTCTGAGACCCTGTGATTTCGTGGGGATGCAGGACGATGTTGCTAGAGCTTCCGTTTTTATGTTTTTGTTTTTCAAGAGAAGCTATGAAATATCTGGTTTTAAAATATTGACAATTCAATGTAAAAAACAAAAGCTTGAAAATACTGAGCACCTGGGTGGTGCAGTCAGTTAAGCCTTGGACTCTTGGTTTCCGCTCAGGTCAGGATCTCAGGGTCCTGAGAGAGAGCCTGGAGTCCAGCTCTGCACTCAGCACGGACCCTGCCTGAGTTTCTTTCTCCCTCTCCTTCTGGCCCTCCCACTCAGGCTGTCTGTCTCTCTCTCAAATAAATAACTAAATCTAAAAAAAAAATGAAGAAGAAGAAAGAGAATACTGAGTAGACCCAACAGTGCATGACTGTGGTTCATGAGCAGATGGCAATTAAAATTTTTATTTTATTTTATTTTTATTTTTTTTAAAGATTTTATTTATTTATTTGAGAGAGAGAGAATGAGAGAGAGAGAGCACGAGAGGGAAGAGGGTCAGAGGGAGAAGCAGACCCCCCCCCTCGCTGAGCAGGGAGCCGGATGTGGGACTCGATCCTGGACTCCAGGATCATGACCTGAGCCGAAGGCAGTCTTTTAACCAACTGAGCCACCCAGGCGCCCCTATTTTATTTTTAAAGATTTTATTTATTTATTTGAGACAGAGAGAATGAGAGAGAGAGAGAGAGAGAGCACACGAGAGAGGGGAGGGTCAGAGGGAGAAGCAGACTCCCTGCCGAGCAGGAAGCCCGATGCAGGACTCGATTCCGGGACTCCAGGATCATGACCTGAGCGGAAGGCAGTTGCTTAACCAACTGAGCCACCCAGGCGCCCAGCAATTAAAAATTTTAAATAGTAGTGATCATTTATTATGCACTCTATGTCAGCCATTTTGTATAAACTATTTATTAACATAACTAATAACATAGATAACGCTTCTGGGTGAAAATTCAAACAATATATAGGCATATGGAGTAAAAAGCATTTTTTCCTCCCCAGGTGTCGCCACCCATTCCGAGTTTGGGGTGCATTCCTCCAGATACGGATAGACAGACCTATCTCCAACCTTATCATGTGTATCAGATTAGTCCCACTTTACAGATGAGGAAACTGCAGCACAGAAAAGGTTGAAGCCTTCATCCAAGACCAAGACCTGGTACGGGAAGGAGCTAAGATTCAAATCCAGATCCTCTGACTCACAAATCAACGCATTCCTTCTGCTATGCCCCGCGTGTAAAATTTTATGGATAAAGAAACCGAGGCTCACAGAGGTCCCTGAGCTGTCACACCGCACAGTTCACAGCCCCATCCCGGAGAGGCAGGGGTGACCGGGCTCGCACAAGGGCTGCGGGGAGCCGAGCGCAAGGACTGCCGCTGGCCCGGGGTCCGACGGCTCCGCTCGCAGCCGCGCGCCTCCCCTCCCGGCGCGGGGCTCGCCCACGCCGCTCCTGTGCAGGTGCCCCCCCTCCCTCGCCCCCTGGCGCCCCTGGTGCCGCCCGCGCCGACCCGGTCGGGATGCCGGGGTCCCTGAGTCCTGAAGCCCCAGCCGGGCCCAGCGCACTGGCCCCAGGGACCGTGCCCAGAGCGACGGCTGCCTCCGAAGCGGGCAGGGACCGCCGCGGCTTCGCCCGAGCCGTCGTCCGGCGCCCGGCACGCAGGGGTGGTCGAGGACCGCAGCCCCGGGGTGGGTGGCCGCGGCGAGCAGGGGGTGGGGGGCCGCCGAGGGGCGCGGGCCGGGCGCGTGGCGGGCGGGGCGCCGGCGGGCGGGGGCGGGCGCGGGGGCGGAGCCGCGGCCAGAGGCGGCCGTGTCCCGAGCCCGGCTCAGGGGCCGGAGTGGCCGCCGCGGAGCCAGGCTGCCTCCAGGGAGCGCCCGGGCACAGAAGGGTTAACGGGCCGCCGGGGCCCGCGCAGAGCAGGTACAGACCCCTCCGGGACCACCCCCCTCCCCGGCCCCGGCCGCCCTCTCTCCCCGGTCCCGTTAGAGCCCCCGCCGCGCGCGCCCGCGCCGCCCCCCACCCCCGCTCCCCGCGCCCCGCGGTCGTGCCCCAGCCGCGACCCCGGCCCCAGCTCTGTAGCCTCGGAAGATCTTCCAGTTCCTGGGGTCGAATTCCTGGGGAGGGGGCTCTGATCCCGTGGAACTGTGGCCGCATCACCCGGGCGGAGAATCAGCCAAAATTCCTACTAAGTCACGGAGTAAAGTTGGAAAACATACCCAGGACCTCCCCGCACGCGCCGGCGCCTCCTGCCCTCCTCCTCTAGGAGGGTGCTCCTTGGAGGATGTGGGCCCCTGCCACCCCCTTAAGTCCTGGAGTTGCGGCCAGGGACGCCGGGAGGGTTGCCGAGGGGTGCCTTTGATCCAGCTCAGCCTGATGACTAGAAAGGAAGGACACCTGTTTGGATGGTCCTCCAGGACCCAGGAATGGAGGGCACGGTGAGGACCAAGGAGTTCTGACCCAGGACAGGGACTCTCCAACCAGCCCTGAAACATGCCGTCCCACCCCCTCCCCCTGCAGCAGCAACCCATTTCCCAGGAGTGGGTCCCTCTGGGGGTGAAGGGGTTAGCCCTGCCCAGGCCTCTCCTCCTTGATCCTCACCAGCCAGTGTGGAGGTATGGCCAGGAGGAGCCCGGGTTTGGCCAGATCAGTGTCCAGCCTGGCAGCGGGGTGACCACTTCTCACCTCTCCTTTCCTCACCCTGGGCAGTGAGACACACCAGATGAGGAACATGAAAAGGGGTGAGGAGCACAAATGTGTGTCTGTTTCTGCAGTGGAGGGGGTGTCAGCCCCCTGCCCAGCTGTGCAGGGGGTGGCATAGGACTTTTCCAGAGAGGGAGCCAGGCCTGGCCAGGGCTCCAGGAGTTCACGTCACCCCCACCCCCCACCCCTCACTTCTCCAGGGAACTGCCAAAGCCAAACCCAGATCAGGACAGGATTATGTGTACTGGGTAGACCCATAGAGAGAGACAGCAAGATACAGACCCCGGGGGGGGGGGGGGGGGGGGGGCAGAGAAAAGCAGAGGCCGGGAGGGAGTGGAGAGGGTACCCAGCAGTAGAGAAGGGGAAGACAGTGACCATCACCGCCATCTCTCCTCTTCAGCCTCAAGCAACAGAGTCAGGCAGAGAGCTGAAGGTTTGGGTGGACCGTTGGCCCTTCTCTGGAGCCCCTACGCCCCCATCGGGGTGGAGCTGCTGACCTCAGTGGCCAGCCCAGCCAGGGGAAGGAGCGGCCATCAGCAACCCCTTCCCAACCCAAAACAGCTGAGGTGACCCTGTGCATTCAGATGCAACCTCTGCAAACCCTCCCTCAAACTTCCAAGTCTTGGGGTCTCAGAGAGGGGAGTGGGGCTGAGAGTGTTGCTACCCCCAAGTACATTCCTGCCCTTCGCTCTGTCATTTTCCTGCCCCTGAGCTGGCCCACCTCGGCATTAGCTCCTTGGATTCCTCTCCCGGGTGCCTTTCAGATCCAACAGAAACATTTTTTTTTTTCCTGGAAAGCAGAATTGAGAGCGGGTTGGGGAGTGCGGGTGGGAAGGGCTCATGCTGAGCAGCAGGGGGCTTTGAGACCAGGGTAGGGCTCCCAGCTCCACTTCCCTGATGATGAAAGCTAGACTTCAGGATGGACGTCCTGGCTCCCCAGAATGATAGGCCTGTGGTTGGGGAGCAAGGGCAGCTCTAGCTGCATCTCTCCTTCCCAGGTTCCCCCAGCCCATCATCACTGGGCCTGAAATAAGCCTCATTGAACCAATGCCCAGGGACTCTGGCCCCTAGAGGGAGGTTAAATAAAATGGGAAAATCACCTGCTTCTCTAGAGATTAAACCATCAGCCCATTTAGTTTATTTCTTGCTAGAAAGTGTTTCGAGGCGGGCAGAGATGCGCCTGAGTGTTCCAGAAGGAGCTTAGTTAAAAAAGGGAAGAAAAGCCTGGGAGTCAAGTAAGAAAAGGAAAGCCCAAGGGGGCTCCGGTCAGCTCCTCAGAGTGGGTATCGGCATGTCCTCACCCATGCCTCCCTCAACTGTCCAGGACCTCTGGAAGGGCAGGAGGCAAACCAGAGGAAAAATCATCTTAAGGAAGACGCGTGTGCCTGTGTGGCCTGAGCCGGCCTGGAAGCAGGCCCCAGTGGGGATGAGGGAGGAGCTGAGGAGTTCCTGCAGGCTGAGGGGAGGGGACTGTGCCCCCGTCGGGAGGCTGAGGTCAGACCCCCACCCTCTAGCCTCAGCGGTCGGGAAAGGGCAGCATTCCTTCCCGCTCTCACCCTTAGGGTCATAAAGGGGTGGGCCACACTTCCCCCACCCCTCCATCCTCACTCGGAGATGCCCTTCTGAGGAGCCATCCCCGCCAACCCCCAGCTTTCTGGAGACAGGAGAGGTAACCACCAGGCTTCTGTCCCCGCAGAGCGCGCCCCCTCCACACCCAGATGCCTGAGTAGTGTGTTTACTTCCGGTCCCCTCTCCCCGGCCCGGGGCGTCGAGGGAGGAGCGATGGAGAAGTGGGCGGGCAGGTAAGTGTGGGGCTGCCGGCCGGAGGGGCGGCTCTGTCCCTGGAAGGGAGGGAAAGGCCATTACTGGGCGGGGCGGGGGCAAGTGATGGGAAACTTCTGCTTTCTGAGAAGCTAGCCTCAGGATGTGGGGAGCCTGCTGCGGGGGAGGGGGTGTCATAACACCTCGTCTGGCTGGTTTGCAGGCCCCGGTTGTGTCTGATGCTGCTTCTGTCCCTCCCTGAGCTCTGCCTGGATCAGGAGGTAAGCCAGGGACCAGAGGTTGTGCTCCTGTCATCCTCCCTGGCGCCCACCCCACTTCTCCAAGCCAGGCGTCGGACTGGCCATTCGCGCAGCTTCTGATGAGCCATGGCGCCTTTCACATTTGCCTTCCTCCCACCCCCCAACTCACTGACTCCTTGCCAAATTACGTCAAGTCTTTTGTCTGATCTTTTTGTCCACACAGGTGTTGTCTGGACACTCTCTTCAGACACCCCCTGAGGAGGGTCAGGGCCCTGAGGGTGTCTGGGGTCCTTGGGACCAGTGGGCCTCTTGCTCCCAGCCCTGTGGAGTTGGGGTGCAGCGCAGGAGCCGGACCTGTCAGCTCCCTACAGCTCAACTCCACCAGGGCCTGTCCTTCCCACCCCGGCCCCCAAGACATCCAGAAGCCCTGCTACCCCGGGGTCAGAGCCCCAGACCTCAGACTTCCCGAGAAACCCTCCCCCTGTACAAGCCACAGCCTCGGGGAAGAGGTGGCCCACGTCGAGGTCCTGCTTCCCAACTAGGGAGAGCAGAGGCCCGGGAGATTCCAGGAGCTCGGAGGTGAGGGGTGGGGCTTCGAGGGGAGGGCGGGGCCTCGGGTGAGGGGCGGGGCTCGGGAATGAAGGAGAGGGAGCAAAGGTGCTTGGCTTAGGGAGGATTATCTTTGGTGCTAGGAAGCAGGCCGGGGAGGCAGGTCGGAGTCGGCCAGAGCTGTGACCCCATGTCTGCTACACCTTCTCAGGTCCCGGGTTCGAGACTCCATCAAGCCCGGAATGTTTGGTTATGGGAAAGTGCCCTTTGCTTTGCCACTGCATCGGAATCGCAGGCACCCCAGGGGGCCGCCCAGAGCTGAGCTCTCCCAGGCCTCAGATCTTCCATCCCTGACTCCAAGGACAGAACCAGCCTCCATAAACCACACAGCTCAAACTCAGCTCCCTCCTACAGAACTTTCTGCCCACTCCCCACCACCCCCAGCAGAGCCCCCAAGCCCTGAAACTGCTCAGACGGAGGTGCCCTCTAGAACCAGGCCTGCCCCCACACGGCCCCACCCCAGAGCCCAGGCCTCTGGCACAGAGCCCCCCTCATCCATCCCCTCCCCAGGAGGAAGTAGCTCCTTCCACGTGTCCCCTCAGCCAAGAACGCCAGATTCCCAGGGTTGGGCCAGTCTCCGGGTGGCCGAGAGGCACCCTAATCCTTTCCTTTCTGTCCCTCGGGGCAGAGGCCACCAGAGCCAGGAGCACTGGAGACCTGGGGGGAATCTTCATGGGTCCCTCATGGAGTCTGCCTCCCACTACCCGGATGGCTGGTTGCCTCTGCTGAGTGATGGTCCCCACTCCAGTTCCCTCTGGAGCCTCTTTGCTCCCAGTAGCCCTGTCCTGAGATGTTCTGGGGAGAGTGAGCAGCTGAGAGCCTGCAGCCAAGCGGTGAGTTCTTCCTTGGACCATCCCCTCCCCAGACTTGCGATTCTGTTTCCCTGACCCTGAGTCTGGGTCCTCAGCTTGTCAGATCTGGACCTGAGGGCAAAGG